GGCCAAATGACATGTTTCCTAGGACCCAAAGTGGGCAGGGAGCTGAAACAGCAGGAACATGAGAAATCTGTGGGTGCTTAAGAAATGGAAAAGCCAGTAAAATTTAGAAGTTAAAAAAACTGACTGTGAGCACAGGGACAAGAGAGGTTGTGCCCTGTTAGCACGGGAACTGAGCAGGCAAAGGCACGTGGGCAAGCTGGGGTCCATGGACTAGGGAAAATACCACTGCTAGCTATACAGTTTCAACCAGCACCAGGAGATGTTTGTCTGTTGCAGCCTCCAAACTGTCTGCAGCAATGTGATTGGATTTATGGAGGAGACAACAAGGACCAGTCTGCAAGAGTGGGAGATCACAGCTTTACTCTCACCTGCAGATGGAATTCACCTGCCAGTTCCTCGGCTGTACGCTTCTAGGTTTATGTATCCTTATGCACCCAGAGTTGCTGGACATGGTCATTCCAACTCCTTCCCCTCCTTCACAACAATAAGCATGCAAATGTGTGTGCGCACGCGCGCGCACACACACATTATTAAAATAAGTGGATTCACAGCTTACTTGAATGGCTTGGGGAAATTGTTATCCTTTAGAGTCACACACTATGTGATTCCCCCCTCCCCCTCCCTACACACACACTGCTTTTGAGAACACAATAAATTAAATTGCTTTCTTGCTTTAAATCCACTCCTGCTTTATCTCACCATTTTTCGCATCTTGTATCTAATATCTGACACTGCTGTATTCATTTTCCACCCATTCATTTCATAACAAAACCTTTAGTAATGAGATTCCTCACTGAATCTGGACCTAGAGGGACTGCAGCTGATGGCCTTCTTGTTGGCACTACTTCTTTTCAACATAGCTAATATAAGCAATGAACGGCAGCAGAATAAAGAACCCAGATTAGCCATATTACTCAGAGTAATTACTCTGTGACTAACATTAATTCCCACCTGACCTGTTGTGCGATGGAGTTCTTTTTGTGTGGTAACTTGAGAAACAGAATTTAATACTGGGGGGGTAAGTGGGTTGCTGAAATAATTTATATCCATCTGAAAAGTAATTACAAAAACATTATCTGGCACATAATAGAATGCATGAGTAATACATATTTTCCCCCTCTAACCAGTAAGTTATCTTAGGTGGTCTTCCCAAAGAGTTTACTTAAAATTTCTTTTGTATTTCTTTCAGTAAGCACCAACTTTTAATGCAAAGTTACTTCAGTTAAAGGAGCAAGGATGTATGTATTCTATGGATCTCTCTGTGTATATTCTTTGTATCTGGCCATTTTTTGCTCAAGTGCAATGCACAAATTTTGCAATGAACACATGTGTCAGAGGGCTAAAATACAGAAGACATAAAACATCTGTTATTGGATTTCCATGCATTTTTATTCTTTCTTAATATGATATTAATCCTCTCCCTCCATTTCCCGATCTAAATTCTCCAACAAAACTGCTATTAACGCCCTCCATAATACATTTGTTAGGCAATTCCAGGGCAAAATCTTGCATCCACCTGGACTTAGATTCCAGTGTTATAACAGATAAAATCAGGTGAAGTCTCCATAGCACAGTTTTCTTGGATGAGTTGTCCAGTTTTCTTGGATGAGTCCAGTTTTCTTGGATGAGTTTCCAGTTGGCACAGCTTAAGGCTGTGGACAAGGTGCTTGTAGATCTTTGTGCAACCACTTCCATTTTCATCCTTGCCCCTTGTGGCGTATAAAATCAGGCAGGGAGAGAGCAGCCAGCAGCCCCAGTACAGTGCTCAACTCTTGCAGAAGGGACTGGTTCCAGACTACGGGAAAGAAATGGGGATTAGACCAGTTCTGCCTGGACCTGGAAAATCACGATCACTTTAGACCAGTGGTAAACATTCTTTTCCTGGGCAAGGTGTGTGATTGAGTCCCGCATTGTTCGACATAATATTGCACCCCTTCCTTGACCTCTTTCCCTGCTAAATATAAAATGTGTTCAAAAGTTGGGACAGAGAATGTTGTTCAGTGTTGGTTCAAGAGAAATGCAAGATAAAAAGTAAAGGCAGACTAGGATAATTACCAAGGCAAAGCACCACAAGAGGAAATGCTTCGTTTGAGTCATAATAAAGACAAAGGCAGACATATTGCTTGTAGTCCTATCTGCATTCCATTATTTTAGCAATGAAGGTTTTGCCTCGATGAATAGAATGAGCCTGGTTGCTCCCTAGAAAGTCAGAACGAAAAGTAAAATAAGCATATAGGATTCTTAACACAAAACCACAGGTTAAACACTTGATTATAGTGTGTTTTGTCCTCAGCAGTAGTAACATGACATAGATTTGTGTGCGCTAGCTTCAGAGGTAATTTTGGATATGATTTTGAATAGAGGCATCATGAAAGCCTGCTATTTCTTGATATGTGGCTTTTGTCCTGCTGTTCTAGGAAGCTTTAGGTAGCATGAATGGAGTCTAGTCCTTTTTAAACGCTCAGATGGTTGGACTGACAAAAAATAACAAACACAAGGCCACCAGTGAACTGCATGGCTAAGTGGGGATGTGAACCCATGTGCCCAGTTCATATTCAAGAGTGTGTTCACTACAGCCCACCACGGTTGAGCAATAGTAAGGGAATAACATTAATAATCCCTGAATATTTCTTGGTGGAAATTATGTATTTATTGACTTACTTACTTTTTTCCTATACTGTCTGTTATTTTCATAGAAAATCTAGAGACAGTTCACAATTTTAAGGATGTAGAAACAATTTACAGCACTTGATTAAAATAGGATTAAATCAAATACATGTTAAAATGAGCAATTCAATTACTGGTTAAATAAAAAGGTTTTGGTCTGGCATCAAAAGGAATACAGAGTCAGTACCAGGCAAACCTCTCTGGGGAACGTGTTCCACAAATGAGGGGCCACCATGGAGAAGGCCGCTCTCCTTGTAACGGCCCTTCTCGCCTCTCTCAAAGAGGGTTCTCAGAGGAGGACTGCCATAGATCTTAAGAACCAGGCAGGCGTAGATGGAAGGAGGCATTCCTATTATTACAGTGATGCAGAGGAAGAGCTCCTCGCCTGCCGTGTATGGCAAAAAAGAGCAGGTGGCTCCCGCCCTTACCAGGGAGTGTTGCTGCGGCAGGTGTGGAATGTCATCCAGAGCCACACTCCTTTCTCAATCACTGTGCAGCCGCAGTGAAGTGATGCTTGTTATTTATTTGAAATACTTACATTCTGCCATTCTTTGTGAGGGCAGCTTATTATTAGTCATAATGCTACACCACGTCCATGTGGTACCATTTTCCTCTTGTGAGGAACCCAAGGCAGCTTACCTAGCTCCATTTCATCCTCCTAACAACAACGCTGTAGGGTAGCTTGGGCTTGACCAGAACCCAGATCTCCTAAGTCCCTAGCTTTCATTTGTTAAAAACAAACATTGTGGGGGTTTTAAATAAAAAAAGTAGTGGTGACTGCCATAGCTGCAAGAGCCAATGTACAATGATGCAAAATAAGCAAATACCTATATATGCGCTTAATTTAAACAGATGATACAATATGCGCCCCCATTCACTTCTGATCAGTTCAGTCCTAACCCCTTAATGTCTGCTGAAAGGATTAGGATATGGTGGAGCTTTGCTCGCAAGAATGGGTTCCACCAGTATGGAAGGCTCCACTGCACCACAAAAACACACACACACACACCTGGTCTGCTCTGGCTGGTGTGAACAAGCAGGGCTGCTCCTCCACAGCCTCTCTGAGGATTGCCTGGTGTTATCAGCGACAAGAAGAACCGTTCAGCCTCCTTCAAGCACATCCCCAAAGCTGAAGCCTCAGGCTGCCTTTTCTATGCCGTGTGGCTTTGTCTGTCATTACAAAAGTACGGGTGAAGATGCTTGTCTTTCCCTGGGCATTTGAACTGTTGTTCTGGCATGATTGCCGGGGACAGCTCTTTTGGTGGTCGCTTGCTCGTGTGCTCGCGCGCGCTCTCTCGCGCTCTCTCTCTCTCTCTCTCTCTCTGAGTGTGTGTGTGTGTCATGGTGGTGGTGGTGGTGGTGGGGATTTTATATATTGTGGGTGAATTGTATTGCTTTCCAGATTATATTTTGTGGGGTTGGTTTTTATTTGCATCATTGTGCTGATTGTAGATGATACTGATTTTGGTTTCTTTATCTATGAATTTCCATATTCGTTCAAGTCACGTCAATACTGTTTTTTGTGGGAGGAAGCAACACATAAATTAATAAATAATAGCGATCCCGTGTCTTGAAGTGAGATGCTGACAGTTGTACGTTTAGCTTCAATATTGTGAGCCACCTTGAAAGCTGCTTTATTGGTTTGAAGGTGACATGAATTAAACCCTTATCTAAGAGATTCTGTGATGTCATCGCTATGTACTAGTCACAGTGCCAAAGGACCTGAAAAGAAGGACCTCATAAGAATGTTTCACAAGCTCGGAATGTGAGTGAAAATTTAATATGCGCTTTACAAGAGATTTCCATATGTTATAAGTGAAGCAGCAAATTCTAGCTAAGGATGGCTCCTCCTCTACCACCACCCATCTCCCATGGTCACCATTACAGAAAGTATGCAGCTTTTATTTTTAGTAGCTGTATAATATGCAACTGTAATTCTGTTTGTATATGAACTGAGTTCATACAATATCATCTGGCATTTATTTATTTAAAGTTTTTATATGCCGTCCCAATACTAAAAGTCTCTGGACAGCTTAAAAAAACAAAAATGAGGATTAGCTGCACATCCCTTTGATGATTAGTTACACATCCCTTTCAGAGAAAAATTAAGACCATTGACATCATGCCATCAACACTGGCAAATGTTATATATGTGGCAGAAATAACTTACATGTGATACTGGTAGCAAGTGAATCATTGCAGATTCCTCTGACAGAAATGGAATGTACAACTGTGTATGTTTTGGGGCCAGTTAAGCCATGCGTTTTCAGTGTGACTGAGAACATTTTATTTCCCAGTCATTTATCAAGCTTTTGTTTGCTTTTTGACTATAGGAATGACTTGTCAAGCCCGGACGTCCTACACAGAAGATGAAGTTCTCTGGGGTCATCGTTTCTTCCCCGTTATATCCTTAGAGGAAGGATTCTTCAAAGTAGACTATTCCCAGTTCCATGCAACATTTGAAGTTCCCACTCCTCCTTACAGTGTGAAAGAACAGGAAGAAATGCTTCTTATGTCCTCCCCTTTAATAGCACCGGCTGTAAGTAACAGTAAAGAACGGAATAATTCTGTAGAATGTTTAGATGGCCTTGATGACATTGGTACAAAAATACCCTCAAAACTCCAGAAAATGACTGGAAGGGAAGACTTTCCGAAAAAGCTATTGAGAATGAGTTCGACCACTTCGGAAAAGGCCTACAGCATGGGGGACCTTCCCATGAAACTTCAGCGAATAAGTTCTGTTCCTGGCAACTCAGAAGAAAAACTGGTGTCTAAAACCACAAAGATGTTGTCAGACCCTATGAGCCAATCCATGGCAGACTTGCCGCCAAAACTTCAAAGATTGTCAGGAGGAGCAGGTGGCAGAATGGAAGGAAACCTGCCCCCTAAACTGAGGAAAATGAATTCTGATAGATTTACATAACATGAACAAACCTTTTAGGTATTATTTCAAGTGTGGTTTGCCATTCCGTCGCTTTTGGGCAGGAAAGAAACGCAGTGAAATTAGTATGGATGGCCAATTTTCCTTAGAACTACATGCGCTCTGGGGCAAAGCTCTTCCCCATGAGGAGAAAACCTTCTGTTGAATTCCACAATACAAAAATCTGAATTTCAGCTTAAGGCCATATGATAGCTAACAAGCTACTATTAATCGGCATGTAGTATCACCACAAGCATGCAAGAATAGTGTGCAAATTTTGCATATAGTTTTATGGCATGGTTCTTACTATATTTATACTGTATATTCTGGAAAAATGTAAATGGGGTGTTATTCTTCTATATTTCTTAAGCGTTAAGTAGTAGATTAAAATTAAACAGGGCAGGTTGTAGGTTAAAAGTGCCCTTACTACCAGGGCAGGTTTATAGGTTAATTTATAATGGGCACAATTCAACTAAAGTTAAACATTTTAGGTATGAGCCATTTGCCTAGTCTACTGTCTCCATCCTTTTCAGCAAGAAGGGGGATTTTTGGCTGTCAACCCCGCCCCCCTGCCCTGCCCAGCAGCAGCAGCAGCTTTCCTATGAGTAAAAGGACTGAGTGTACCCAAAGGAGCAATTGGATCTGCCCTTTTGTTAACATTTAAGGAAGTGCTTAGATGTTTCCCATTTCAATCAAAGGCACTTTAAAGTGTTTTGCATTGGCTGAATTTTGCCCATTTTCTTCCTGATGTAAATTGTGATGTTTTCTTCAGACAGTTGTAGTGCATGTTTTCTTTGTTGAAATAAGGCTATACATATTATGAAACCTTAACACCAGACTTTTAGCCTTAAGCTCCTTCCTTTATTCTTTGTTTTGACATTTCCCCTCCCCACACCAACTTTCTTTGTTTATTGATACAGGGACCCCTATCTTTGCTTTATCTAAAAATACAGTAATGTTGAGGAGTGGGCAAAATGGGATGCCAGAGAGAGTTTTAGACAGAAGACATAAAATCCAAAGCAAGTGATTGTGACAGATTCTTGTTTTAAATTCATTAAAAACAGCTCTGAAGTGAAGTTCAAAAGGGAAATACCTTCTTGATTTATTATGCTGACTGCTCCACTCTGGTATGCATATGATAAACTTACTTCTTCTACAAAGTAGATTGATTTTTCCATATATCGTTCTTCAGACTTTTCTTATAAATGCTAGAATGAAGTTGGATTCGGATGACTGGGTGCCTCCTAGTAACCCCTTGGAACATTTCTGTGCAGCATGTTGAATCCCTTGGGAAGTGTTTATCCTACGAAGACCTGGCTACTGCGATTGTGCCTAGTAGCTTCTTGGAAATCCAGTGCCACAGGGTCAGTATTTCGGTGGCTGTTAGTAGGCTCCCAGTCACCTAAATCGTCCTCGAGGTTTCTTGCACAGTGACTCTTCTTTGTTAGGGTTTGCAGTTTTGTGAACTTATGACACTTCTTCACGTCACAAGCAGCCTTCCTTGGCAGGACCTGATGGTATGAACTTCCCTAGCTCCTCCTGAAATTAATATGCATAACTGAAATGAACGCAATGGAAGCTAAATGGTGGCTAGGTGTCCATCCTGCATTGCCAGAGAGATCACAGCCTTAGTGGCCCTTCTGTAACGCCCAAGGAGGGAAAGCATCTTTGTAGTCCAGTCCCGGGCTCATACAATCTGCTAGCAAAATAGGTTAGATGAGGAGCAAGGTCCCAAATCTGCTAGAAGAGCCAAGGAGCATACACAGGACAGCCACTAAGGGGGAGACACAGGCGTGTGCCACCCGTGCTGGCTTCCACATGCCAGCGGGGCTATTAAAGCAATACTAATGGATCAGGAAAAGAAGGCAGTAGCAATAGCCAAGTGAGTCAGAGGTCCCTGGAAAAGGGGAGCTAAAAGGCATAGCAAACCTAATTTTCCATGATATTTAATTATAGCTATTACAAAATGCAGTGGTAGATCTATTTCCAAGGGAAAACGACTTTGATGGGCATTCAGAAGCTATTGCTACAGCCTGTGGGGAGTCCTGCTACACTCTGCCATGACATGTTGAGCTCTCTATACCAATGGAACCATAGGGCAGCAGTGGGGTGTGGGGCCATTTGTAGCGGCTGTTGTCACAGTTCCTAGTTATGAGCAGTACAGCTGTAAAAATACAAGCTCTTTTTTTGCTGTATGAATCAAGGCAAATTATAACACCAAGCTTTCATACAGCAGGAACCTCCCATGCTTGATTTTTTGTCAAATTCATAATCTGTCAATTATAAAGCAATATTAAAAAACTACCTAGAAGTCATATAATGCCAAGACCAACCCGCCACACAATGCAAAAGCCACAGTCCTAATAGCAGGATTGCTCATCTGCATACAACTAGTCCATAACATAGAGCTTTACCCTAACGTTAGCTCTGCTTAATGTGTGCAACACACGTAAGACGTCTGGGATCAAGCTGCAACATGCCTGAGGTTCCCCACCAACCTTGTTTGAGAGAACCTGGGTGTGAAAATAGTTGGAAAGATGCCTTCATATCCTGGACAAAATGTTGTGTTCTGATTATCCTTCAAGCAGAAAACACACGTGTGTGTATCACATACTAAGGGCTGATTTCACACATGCATTATGAATATGTATCTCTTGATGTGTAATCACATGAGCGATTGTGTCTACCCTTGTGAGTAATGAAACAGTTTGGCTCAGGTCAACGAATTATCCATGGAACGGGGACCGTGTTCCTCTCCATTTCTGCTGCAGTTTTGTTGTAGCAGCCAAACACCAGGGGCTGGGTGTTCTGTCTGAAACCACGTGGGATGCAAAATGGAGTGTGAGAAGAGGGAATTGGCATAAATTAGGGCTATGCCTTGCATTGGTTCCACTGGACCCAAGTCTCATGTTTGAGATGCTTTGAGGTGCTGTGGCAAACACATGCTTGCGCTGAGGTGTCCATTTTGCACATACCAGTTTCTGGATTTTGCCATTATCAGATCAACAACAGGCATATGTTCTCACCCTGAGTGATAGCAAAATTATTACTGGCAGCAGTGGCATTTTGATGCATATTTCTAAATCTTCATAATAATTCCTTCAAGTAAAAAACTTTATATAGAACGTAGCATACATGATTAATTAAAACCAATTTAATGAGGGTGAGGGTTAGGGTGGACAACTAAAAATAATAGTGCAGTCCGAAGCATGTTTACTCAGAAGTAAGTCCTACTGATTTCACTTGCTCTTACTTCCAAGTAAGTATGCATAGGATTGCACTGCATATTCTAGCGATTTACATTTATCTAAATTTACTTGCATACATTGATTGACATCCCAAAGGGCTCTGAACCATTTAAAACTGAACAAGTGGCCATTTACAGTTCTGTCTTTTCACTGACCATCCGCTATTATACGCAATGAAAAGCGGACTGATCGACATTGGTAGCAGGCCCAAGTTCCCAGGTGGAACGGACGGCAAGCGGTGGTGCTTCGCACAATGCGCTGGTGGTACAGGCCTTGCCTTTTCTTCATTGCTCATTTACCAGTTTAAAAGGTGTGAACTGAAATGCATGCTTCTGCTCAAGTTGTCAGTTCAGTGTGCTGCGTCTGTAATTCCCTGCCCAAAGAACCCCCCTAAAATTCAGAATGTACGTTGTCACCCAACTGTTACTATATAACAGGACAAATGCAAAGAATTTACATATGGCTTCCCCAACCCAGTTGCTAAAAGTCACATCAAAAAGGTGCCATAGAAGCACCAGAACCCATCTCATAATGTCTTTCTGTGCTTAAGTACGGAGGCCGGAGATGCTTTAAGATTTGTTGCCTCGTTCCTCTCAAATGCTCGTAACTTTATTGACATTTCATTACTGAACCTTTCCTTGCAGGATCCCAGATTGCACAGGGTTAGTAAGAGTTGCTCATCTATAAAGGACACAGTCATCTCGGTGCAGTGCAAGATAGCTGAGCAGACTGACACAGGACCCTTCGTTTCTGTGGATGCATTCTTCTTGCATTGCTTTTCTGTACTACCTTCCTTCTCCTTGCAGGGAGGCCAAGGTAGCTTGCAAGGTTCTTCCTTCTAGTTTGCCCACATACAGTTTTGTTTGTTTTCTGTACCACCCATTAGCCAAAAAAGCTTCCCTGGTGGCTCACAAGCTTAAAATATACAATAATCATAAAATATAATGCCAACAAATAGCATCAAACAATTTCAATAAAATAGGAATGGATCCACAGCAACCACATTCAGATTAATCTGGAGGTACAGCAGCAATAAAATACGATATAAATTATGATAACATTTAACTATTAAAACGCTGGGTAAATAAAGAGGCTTTTACCTGCAGGCGGAAGGAATAAAGGGTAGGTGCCAGGTGCACCTCTTCGGGGAGCCGATTCCATACTTGGGATGCCACAACCAAAAAAGCCCTTTCCCCATTTGGTCCCTTGCTGGGAACTGCCTGGAGAGTTTTGGTTACTGGGAAGTATTGAAATAAAATTAATATTAGTCGTAACAACAACACTGTGAAGTAGGTTTGGCTGAGAACAGTGACTGGCCCAAAGTCACTCACTGGGCTTGAACCCGTATATCCTGAGTCTCAGCCCAGCTCTTTGAACGACCATATCGCAGTGACTAATGATAACAACGTTTTAAAAAAGTAAGCTTTGATTCATTCAAGGGACTGGGAATATGAAAGATAAAAAACACACTTTGCTTTTCCCCGCCAGAATCAAGGTTGTTCAGCTAATCTTGCTGCATGATTGCACTGTGTTGTTTATTTAGATGAAAATTCATTTGCTTTTGCTCAATACATCAGAGTGATCCTAAATAAATCTGGCACACTTTCTTTCTTAGAAACTTTTTAAAATTTCCCTTTCGAGTATGTGTGCGTGTTTTTCTTTTTCTGTTTTGTTTAGTAGCCACTTGTGTTGCATTATTTGCATTTTTGCCCAGCCCTCCTGATTATGCTACTAAGGGCACATTTCCATTCCAGGGTAGGCCGAAGAAGCCCCACAGCTGCCACCGGGCTCCACGGCAGGTCTCTGTTTCTGCCTACGCCTGAATGGGATTGTGCCCTTAGACAGTTCTGTTTGACTGCACAGCAGGTCTGTGTTTTTGACTGCTGAATTTATGCTTGAATTATATTGTAAATTGTACATATTCAAATTAGAATCAACTAATTGCATTTTCTGGCATGAGATCTATAACTGTATAAATGCATAAGTATATTTGGATAATATAAAATTAACAAACTCTTGTACTCATTAATACTGCAAGCTCAGTTTTAACTAAAGCTATATTAAACTTTTAAAAATTGATTTAAATGTCCGTGTTTGTCTTGTTTGTACATGTGATGGCAGTGGTGTGGTAGCTACCAGCAAAGCCTATTAGCACGTCTGTTAATTTGAATATAGACTGCAGAAGCAGTCCTAGTATTTGATGTATGAAATATGCAAAAGTATTTTTCATAATGATCATGGGGGGTGTATTTTCAAGCAAATGCATCTAACAGGCTGCAGTAGAAAGATCCATTTGCTTGCTACATCGGTATTCCTTGCTGTGCTTTTGCACTCCAGTCCTTATGACCAAAAAATCCCACCTACCACACTTCAGCAGTCTCATGTGATATTATTTGTGGCGTTACCCCATCCGCCTAAGCGGTCATTTGTTTGCGTAAAACGGTCATTTTGTCTGCTGCATGGAGCTACGCAGTGCTTTTTTTGTAAAAAAAAAAAAAAAATGTGCCGGAACTCCTCTTGGGGTCACACTTACACTAAAAAAGATTTTCAATTCACCAACTTTTTTTTGAATAAACAACTTATTTACCTTTTGCATGTAGCTGGTCACTCTACACACACATAAACATAATGGTCGCCGCGGACAGTAAGCACTCAGCGCGCGACCACACGACCGATCCCAAGCTGAGCAGCGTCCCGAGCCGAGCAGCGCCCTCACAAGCAGCGCGGACACACACGCAGCCCGCAGGCACTATTTTAACGCTTTTTGCTGCCAACCTGCTACGCCCGTCAGGGCGATTCACAATCACATGGAAAAATCCGTCAAAAAAATGGTGCCAGAATGCTGTTCTGGTGCGTTCTATGACCAAAAAAAGTCCTGGAGCTACGTAATGTTCTTCCTTGCACAAAGAATGAATGTACAAGTTGGTCTTTCTATGCGTATGGGTTTTCATTAGAGCTTGGTCCAAACAGTACCTCAAAATTCTTCGCCTTATCTGTGGGTGGAGAAATTGATGGGTAGAGCTTCTCCAGGGGTGGGAGAAATTCTTCAACAGTCATTGACAGAGATTGGGTTATGACTTCTGTCTTTTTTCCTAAGACAGAAAAAGCAGCAACTGTGTGGGCTGTTGTGTGGACAGCCTTGCCCCATTTTGCATCCTGCACAACACAGGGGGAGGGGAACTCTAGGGAAGAGGTGGAGTAGACACTATGCCCAAATCTGTCCTTTTTCTTTCTGAAAGTTTCCCTACCATTATCTCCATGGCTCTGACGTTTCCTAGGCTGCCTGAATTTCCTGATCTGAAAATAGTCCTAAGGGGTTACGTTGTTCCTTGGACTTTAGGCAGGAAACTAAGCCAGCTACAAGCTGCCAGAAAAATGATTGCAGTGAGAAAAATGCCTGCACATGCTCATAGGCCAGCTTACAAGCTTAGTAATTACAGGAGCACTAAAGAAAACACATGCAGATTTCTCTATTTTTTCCCTTTGATTCTCCTTTGATTTTCTTTGGAACACAATTTCTTTTCTGTAAAATGGAATGAAAATGACTGAACATTTAAAAAATGATAGTGGAAGAACTTTGGCACAGCGTTAATTTCTATGGCATGCTTCTGGTTGGTATGGCAAATCACCAATCCGTCTTCCTTAAAATTAGACTGTGTATAGCCAGCTTTTTAGAGTTGTTAGAGTCAGTGCAGCGTAGGGCCACAAGGTTGGTGGCCGGTTTGCAGGGGATGCCATATGAGGCGAGACTGAGGGAACTGGGTCTCTTCAGCCTGGAGAAGAGGAGACTCAGAGGGGATCTGTTGGCAACATACAGCTTTGTGAGGGGATGTGGGTAGAGGTGGGCAGAGGCCTGTTCTCGCCTGCAGAGGAAGGCAGGATGCGCTCCAACAGAGCAAAGCTCAGGGAGCCAAGGTTCCTTTTAGATGCCAGGAAGCACTTCCTGACAGTTAGGACCCCGAGGGTGTGGAATGGGCTTCCACCCCATCGGTGAGGGTGTTCAAAGATAGGCTGGACATGTCGTGAGCGGAGCTGGCTGGAGCCAGGAGTCAGACTTGATGGCCCAGGAGGACCCATCTGACTCGCTCTGTTTCTAAGAAGCACTATATCGACACCTAGTGATTAAAAAATAAGCATCACAACTTGCAGAACTAAAATATTGAAGATGCCAGTGGAAACAGAAACAGCGATCATAGCTTAAAACCCATAGAGAATGCACAGTTAATTTAATCTGAAACTAAACTGATTTAACAGAAGACAATCACTTTCTGTTCAGTCAAAATGTATTATCAAAATGTATTATCAAAAATCAGGTTTCATTTTTAAGTCTTAAGAATATCTGACACATAATTTTCTAAATAATTTTCTAAATAAATAAATATTTATTTTAATAAATAAATAAAAAATAAAATATTGCACAAGTACTGAATAAAGGAAATGGCTTTCATTTGTCTTGAATGCTGAATTATCAGCAAGTAGCATAGATGGTGCAACTTTCCAAAACTATTATCAACAAATCTATTTCGTGAGCAGAAATTTCATACATTTCACTGGAAGGAGACAATCATGCAATGGATCATCTATAATCAGGATTATGCAAAAAAATAAATGGCTGGATTGCAGTCTAGACTGTACTAAACCCTGGTCACCTTCAAGATGCTTATATTTATTTTAAATGGCCAAATGCAATGTAACAGCTGCCAAGTGTTTTGTAGAACAACCCCAGTTACTCTTCCTTTGACACGGCACCAAAACTCAGTTACCTTACACATATTGCAGTGCACAATCCCATCCTTGCAAATTGCCTCTTACATCATTGTAATTTTTACAAAAGGCTTGTAAACAGGACATGATGAATGAAGAAATGAACAAGGCTTTTTTTAATCCTAGCAGAGATATTTAGATTTATTCTTTTTCTACGCACCAAGCATGCAAATCTGTGCACAGTGTATGTGTTATGTAGTCTCTCTGTGTATTAATCGAAGCATCTGTCTCTGAGCACATGCATTTCACTCTGGCATTGCGTCTGCAGTGCTCGCAGTACATGTGTCCTGTCCATTTTAAAAACTGGTGACTAGACTGGGGTGATGCTAATTCCATAGTGTTTTCAGAACACACATTTGAAAATACAAAACTTACTCATCATCTGCAAATAAAATTAAATATGTTGCATAAACTTCTTCAACTCTTTTGAAAAGATGAGCTTGGTGAGAAGGACCGGCGTGTAGCTGAATATGAATAGATGTCCTCTGTAGCAGCAAGGACGGCTATAAATACCAAAAAGGAAATAATATTTGTATCACACTTTGAATTTAATAAGTTTAATGGATCTTTGCTGCTTGGGTCTTTTGCTCCAGCCAAGAGATAAAATTTCACATTTGGATCATCTAGCCAGCCTCCTGTGAGCCCAGAACTTCTGCCTACCAAAGCTTACCCCTCCCTGCCTATGATCTATTTTATGACACAGTGTGCTGGAAGGCATCTCTGCAGAGCCGCTCCATGCTACCGGTAAGGCTGTGCAACTGCTGGTAAGGGGTGGCAGTGGGTGCGCCAGGAGCACATGGTGCGGGATGCTGCAGCCGGCCCCGTGCAAGGGCACCACGGTTGAGAGGAGAGTCGCCCTGCTGTTGCCAGCAAACCCACCCACACAGGAGCAGCTCCCCACGCAGCTGCCACCTGCTTGCACAGGACGGGCAATCCTCGTCTGCACTGCTACCTCCGACAATAGAAGGGAACGACGGACAGGCCTGTTTATGCTGCAGCTGCACGCAATGTCCAGAAGAAGGCAGCCAGCCAGATCAGGCTTCAGCACTGAAAGCTACTCCCAGAGGTTGGGTTGGTTCAAATTCCAGAAGGGCTGCTTCTGACTCAGCGGGATAATAAAGTGATGCCAAACCCAAAGGAGTTCCTCTGTGCAAACTCTTGTGTAAGACTTTGGAAAAGCAAATCCTCAAGACCTTTGACTAAGCCATGAACTATATTTTCTGCATTTATCCTTTTCTATGCTGTAGTGCAACCCTGGGGACACTGTAGCACAGCATAGCAGGGATCCTTCCAATAGTTCTTGCACAACTTTTCACAGAACTGCATTGGCGCATTTTCTCCAAGGACTCCTAGTTCTTTGGATCCATTTTCTCCTTGTACTTGAAGTTCATTGGCGTCATTGTCTCAATGAACTTCAGGATGAATTCCCAAATAAATGGCACTCCTTACGACATGCCGATGCTGATGTCCCCTAACTGTGTACAAATGTGTCATCACTGTGCCAAGAGTCATGGTAGAATGTGTGACAACACAGGCACACTAGCATACTGCTCAGGATAAACAGACGAGTGCCACCAACAGAAACAGGTGCAAACCTGGGCATCTCATTGCACCAGTGTATGCAAGCATACACTCAGGCAGAAAGGAAACGGGGGTAATAAGCTGCAGCATAGTTGGCCATTCCCATCCACAATCACACCCAGCTGATATTTCTAGGTCCTGTGGGAGCATATATTTCGATGGAGAAAAGCATCACGTGGCCTCTTCCAATGGAACAGTGATGTATATGTTGGACTATCTCGGTGTCTTACTGTCTCTGCAGGGCTACTCTTGAAGACAGCTTGGTGGAGAATGTGGCTGTCAAAAGTCTAATTAATATAGAAAGGTTTATGCCGATCCTATCAGTTTTAAAAGAACTAAATTGCTGTATTATTGCTTCTTGGCCCAATCCAGGGTATTGGTAGGATGGAAGAACCAGCAATTTTCAAGTTCATGCAAATTCTTGGACATTTACGTTGAAGCTCATTGTGGTTTGTTCCTGTTTTTATTTCAGTCTGGGATTTTTGACTCCAATGAGAAAAAATGCGCATTTCAAAAGTGGAAAATAAACATGCACTTCTGTGTGCATTTGAAATCACTTTTCAAAGTACATATTAAAAATACACATTTTTCCAACTAATTGGCAAATCAGAGAATTTGCTAATGTTTCTCGGGGAAAACAAATGTTTCTACTTGCATTTGTGTTTGTGGTTCATATGATTTGCAAACAGAACTGAAATTTGCAGACATTCCTTGTTTGCTGGGAGCTACTTTAA